ATTCTGGGAGTTGAAGTCCACCCACCTTAAAGTTGCCACGGTTGAGAAGCACTGCTCTGAGGGGAACCCAAGCATGGTTTAACAGACTTCATGGGAGGGTCTAATGTAGAGTGGACAGGCACTCAAAAGGCAAAGCTGAAGCGTTCGTGGGAACTAAGAACTGGGAACCCCTGCAGCAACCAGAGAGCATCAGGGGTTCGCCACAGGAAGCGAGTCCTGCACACTGCTTCTTGCTCTGCCCCGGCTCTTTCAGAAAGCGGGGTGAAAAGCCTCTTGCTCAAGAGGAAACCATGCAGGACCTCGCTCTTCCCATCGCTAATGAATATTGCTTATTTACGGAGCTACCTCCCGTCCCTCCCTCGTCCTTTCTCCGTGCTTTCGTCCTCGTGTCCATCGCAGGCAACTTGTATGGCTGTCAAAATATTGCAGAGGAATACGTGCTTCCAGCTTTTACAACCAGCGTCTCTCAGACGGCTAGGTTTTGGGGCTCTCCTCTCCTTGCGTCGTTCCCATTTTGAAAGCTTTATTCCTTTTCTTCAGATTCCACTGACGGCAGGAGGCGGAAGCTGGTCCAACAGATTTCAGAGGGGGGTAAAGTAAGTAAGTGATAGGGAGCCTGGAGAGTTACTTCTGAGTAGTTGGTGGCTAGCCATGTTCACTGGACCAATTGCACAAGCCTTTGACGAAGAAACGGAGCTCAGGAGCTTGCTTTCTTAAATACAGCATTATCTGCCAGTGGACATAGTTTCAGGGCCCAGCATTAGCATACATTGCCATCTTTTGCGAGAAGGCCTGGATCACGGGTTGCCTGTGAATTAGGGACAAAGGTTAGAAGCTGTTGGTCAGGACTGGCCTTTGGGGCTCCTGAAAGGAGAAAATTCATGCTCTTTCCACCACCAGCTTGTTCCTAATTCCAGAAAGGGGTCAAACTTAAGAGCATCAGCTACTAATGGCCACTGCTAGGTTTCTTTTTGCAGTCTGTCCCCTCCACTGCTTTGGACTACAATCCCCAGCATCCCCAACGGTGGGCAAAAGATCTGAAAGGCTGCAGATTGTGGAAAGCTGCTTAGATTTTTTTGCAGCTGAACTTGTTCCCATCAGAGCGGGGGGCGGTTCTTATGCTTCTAGCTCAATAGATACGTGCAGAACGAGTAACATGCAGGAAAAATGCTTCAGGTGATTGGTGTTTTTTTTCTTTTTTTTCTTCTTCCAGAAAATGGATGACAGGCTGTGGCCTTCAGAGGCCAGCACAGCACTGTTGCTCCCTCCCACAGCTGCTGAAGAAGTGGATCGCTCAGTTGCTAAGGAATCTGATCTCCCAGAAGTGTGTGAGCCTCTCTGCAAAATTGTAGAGAGGCTCAGAGACCAAATGCTGATCCTTCAGAATCAGCTGGCAGTTAAAGAGTTAAGTTTCTTGGGGTCAGCCACACAGCCCAGCTTCCATTTATTGCAGATCTGGGGGGAGAAACCATCCAGCCTTTCATTCTTTTTTTTCACTCTTTCTGCCACTTAAAAGTGAAAAAAAAAATCCACAGCCTAGAAAAGCTGCTTTGCATGCAGCAAATATGTCCCAGAGTTATCTTTTCACTCCAGATATCTGAACTCTTGCAGTCTACAGCAGGGTGGCTGTTATTCCTCCTCCCACTTCTCACTAAGTTAGTGGAACGACTTTCTGAAGAAGAGTTTCTTCAGCCTGCTGAGAACCCCAAATGAAGCCTGGCAAGGGTTTCATCAAGGACTGATTTCAGAAGAAATGCGAGCCGGGCCTTGAAATGTTTAAAACGACAACCACCTGGTAGATAGCCCAAATTATTAGTAAAGTCGGACCTCCCCAGTTGTGCTGTAGAGGTTTGGGGTTGAATAGTGGCTGTGTGTCTCTTCGGAGTGGGGAACACAGAGGAAAAAATTGGAGTTAATCCCAGGTGAAGATGTAAACCGTGGTTTGCACACCACTTCTGTGATTTTACCCAGCCAGAGTGTTTTCCCACGGGGCTGAAGAAACACCGGGTAGGTCTACACATTGAGCAAGCTCTCATGGTTGGGCTTAACCCAAAGTAGGAAAGCAGACCATACGTGTCCACCACAGCCTGTGTGATGTGAGACCTTCATGAAGTGTACCAAGCCACATGGTCTAGTTCAATAAATCTCATGTTCACATGGATTAATTCAGCCTGCTTTCTAAACAGCAGCAGTGTTGGACATCCCGTTGCCGGATGAAAACATTTTGTGGTCGCTGAGCAGGATCTCGCACTGTGCCCTGGAATCCTGCACAGGCCAGATCCCATTCTGACATTATGGCACAGCTCAGGGCAGGCCCATTGAATTGCACACAGCTCTTCAGACTCCAACCACCGGGATTTATTTCTGTCCGGAAGGGCCGGCCGTGCAAATGATCGGTCTTGTCCTTCTGCAGGGAGGAAATCCAGCAGCTGAGAGAGAATTTGAGACAAGTGGGAAAAAACCAAGAAGCCCATCGTAGACAGGCTAGAATTGATGTGACACAACCTCCAGATCAGGTAAAAAAAAAAAAAAACCCTACCAATCATTTAATTTGTGTGGTGAGCTGTGTTGTCTAATATTGACAAATCTGGCTTCTGTCGAAAGCCCCATAAGGCTTGTGCGCTGTCTGGCTGTGGATTTTAATAGTTTCTTGGACCGTTTCCCTCCAAAGACCTTCCTGCAACCAAGGATTGAATTTTACATTTATAGCGTGTGAAAGAGAGGGGGGGAGCTTCAGTACTCTCATGGAGGTGACGAGGGCGAGTGATGTACGGACTCCTAGCAATTAAGGCAGGGTCAGTGGGAAATGTAGTGGTGAGGGGGATCGATGATGGCAGAAGATGCTATTGTCAGGTTCTTGGCTGGGAGACTTCTGCCCCGCTCGCCCCACCCCAGTTCGTTAATGACAGGAGGCCTCTTAGCGCTGCAGCAAGGCTCCACCATCTTTGCTCTGAATGGCGCTTAGTCTGCCTATCCGTTTCTCTCCCCTCTTCATTTTTTCTTAATCCAGTGTCATTCTGGTTCAGTGTTTCTCTACCTTGGCCGCTTTCAGATAGGTGGACTTCAACTCCCAGAATTCCCAGCCAGCTTTATGACCGCATCGCTTAGCGACGGAAATGCTCGTCCCACTTACTGTCGTTAACTGGGGACTACCTATAGACCTAGTTCCTGAGTCACTGCGGTTTTGGATTATATAATCATGACCTTTTCAAAACTCAAACCCTGTGCCAGATTCCTCGTGCATTAATTGGGACTCTGCTGAAGAATAAGGCATGTTTAGAACTGAGCACAGAAGCATCCTAGCCCCCAGAATGTATTCAAGTCCTGATTCCTGCTTGTTCCACCCCTAGACTCCAGATTCGTCTTCTGAGCTGTGTCCTTTGCGTAGAGTTGTTGGTTGCAAAGCTGGGGAGGAGGAGGAAGAGGAGGAGGAGGAGGAAGCCGTGAGACTCATCCAGTCTGCATTCAGGGCTCACATCACACGTGCACAACTTGAGAAACGGTAAGTTGGGAATAGATGGTGTTAACATGGCTCCGGAGTTGCTCTTCATAACCTGAGTGGTCCTGCAACTGAGTCAAGGTTGTCCTTGAGGGTTAGTTTAGTGAGTAAAGGAAGAAAAGAGACCACCGAGGGCCCACTTGAACAATCAGAAATCTTATCAATCTAGATGCAGTCGGTTTACATCCCCTATCTACAGAGATGTGGAATCCAAGTCGTTTCAGCCCAAAGGCATTCCCCCACCCCACCCTCCGCCCTGGATCGCTCACCAGCTGCCGTGGCCCCACAAAGAGCAGCAGGCTCGGCTCTGCAGAACGGACTGGAGGCTAGGAGCAAGGGGCTGAATTTAGATGCTGCCTGCCCTGGCGTCCAGAGCCAGGGCTTAAGGCTGCACATGGTTGGTGCATATTCTTAAGACTCACCTTTTCCCAGCGTGAGCATCTCTGCCTTTAGTACAGATTTGAGAACGGGGAGGATTTCAGTTTTGAGGCATTTCTGTAGGGCGGCCAATGAATTGCTCTCCTCCTGGCCCCAAACCAGTAATGTACTGTCCCTCCCCTTCCATTCCATTAAATGTCTTGCCCGCAGCAATTAAGCTGGGTAATGTATGTCATAAAGGGTTCTTCTTGACCCTGAGCCGCAGGCTGGTGAGAATTCTTACTGCAGATCTCCTTTAGGGTTGGATCTCTCTGACTCACAACTTTGGTATCTGGGGTTTTATGACTCTTGCCCTGTACCATGTATCTTTTGCAGGCCTCTCCTCTCCAGCCCTGGGAGAGAGAAAGCCAGCCTAGCTGCTTCCAGGGAAGAGAAGGCTAGCTGGTCGATCTTCAGATGTTCACCTCTGGTCTTCACTTCCGATTCTGGTAATTTCACTGACTTCCATCCTGGGTTTGTACGCCTTTGCTCAATTTCACAGTGGCATACTTCATCCCTTCAATCTTGGGTACAAAACTGATCTCATCTGAAACCTGGATACAGTAGGGGGACAGCCCCTGATCCTTGCTTGCTTGCCTTGGGAGGGCAGTTCAGAGCCAGCATTGATTGCAGGTCTTGACCCTGAGGCTCACTACCGAAAGGGAAAGAAGGAAGAGGAACAACTGTTGGATGGGTGAAGAGAAAGTTAGGAAAAATAGTAGATCCTGAAAAATAGTCTTCAGAGAGGTCCTCCTTTTCTCCTTAACATCTGAAGCTCATTGGGTGGGATCTTGTAATCTTACTTCCAGGTTGGGGAAGTAGATTCCCATAAGAAATAAGTTGAGATCCATCTCTGAAGATGTTCCACTGGGAGGGAAGGGGTTTTATTTAGGCAGGAAATTGGCCTGTGAATTAACCCACTGGGCTAGTTATAGATGGTTGCAGTTGGTTTAATCATTTATCATATATAACGTTTTCCATCTGAGAACAAGAAACCAGTGTGGAAAGGCCAGGGGGGATGGTTTAATGCTTGGGTTGTCGTTGGTCACATAGAAACAAAAACGGGCACGGTAATCCTAATTCCCTGTACCTCCAAGCTGCTCGGGGAATCTACTGGCTTAGTAATGGCTGTTCTTCCCCAAAGGACTTGTGTCTCTGTTCCTTTCGATCAGCTCTGCTCTTCTTTCTCTGTTTTTAGCCACCGCCTCCCACAATCAGCGGCAAGCTTCCCCCTCCGAGCTGGCCGACCAGGCTGAGTCAGACGACTCGGATGAGATCATCACAGCGCCTTTGTTTCCATGAAGAGAACCTCATCTTCTGAATTCAGCAGTTATACGTGACATCCTCTTGCGTGCTCCTGGTTAGAGAACCAAAGACATTTTGGTTTGGCAACCAAAAAAAAAAAGAGAAAGGAGAATGTAAGGTAGCTGGGTCTACTAGGTGGTTTTGAAGAAGGTCATGTGGGCAACTGTCCGATTCCCCAGCATTGTAACATTATCAGAAGCAAGATCACCAAAACCAGCAGTTGAGTTACATTCTCCTTTTTTAGTCTGTGTTGGGTTGGGCCACCCTTTGCAGCTGCGTGCATCTCCATGCAGTTCTTTAGACATCAACTTCCATCGTTTCCCCACAGCCTGGTCCCACTTAGAGAAGGTTGGGTTTGATAAAGACTCAGGTCTGCTGCTTCTGCTCCCATTCTGGGGTCAGAGTTGTGTGCTGAAAGAGCCAGTAGTACGTAACTACTTTTGCTGAAAGCACAGGCAGCCTAGCAAGATTTTTACGATCCACGTGCCTTTGGAAACAAAAGCAATCAGAGGCCAAATGTCCAGCAAGATGGGGATGATTTCCTGTAAGCAATAAAAGATAAAGAAGTTAAGTCATGTCTGGCTATTAGCCTTTTCCATGTAACTTTTTTTTAATCAGGAAAAAAACCAGGTCTTTCTCTAATTTCTGTCTCCCCCCTGCTAGGGACAGAAGTTAAACCTTTGTCTTTTGAGTGCATTTACTTATTTCTCATCTTTCTTCTGATGAATGTGGGTTTATTTTATGGCAGTGTTTCTCAACCTTGGGAACTGTAAGATGTGTGGACTTCAACTCCCAGAATTCCCCAGCCAGCATGGCTGGTTGGGGAATTCTGGGAGTTGAAGTCCACCCATCTTAAAGTGCCCAAGGTTGAGACTTACTTTTACAGTATACTCTTATGTGGACCTCAGTGGGTGGTTTTGTGCCAACGTTTGGACCAATAATACGATGGGATCAACATCAGCAAAACATCTGGATCAGTATTTTTCTCTTTGGATTGGCAGCCCCTCTGCCTCAACCCCAGAGAAGGTTTCTTCAATAAAGGGGGCCTTGCGGCCCCATGGTTCCCCACAGAGTTCCAAAGGAGGTGACAGAAGGGGTTTGATGACACCTGCCTAGTGTTTGCTGTCGAGCGTTTACGAAAGATGAAAGACGAATTGGCTTCCCTGTCAAAGAAGGAAACCCTCTGGCTCTTCGATAACCACTGACACTGGCTCTGCAATCGGCAGAGGTGATCATCGGAGCCTTTCGCAGGCTTGAAGCTGTTTCTGTGGAGAAGGTTGCTTGTTTGGCTTCCAGACAGCCTGCCTGCCTCCCTCCCCACTCAACCCAAAGATGCTGGTTTCCCTGCTGACCCTGAATGCGTGTCGGCTCCAGGACTCTGCCTGCTCTTTATCTGGGGCCGACTGTCCTTCATGGTAGGATTTGCAGCCAGGAAGGCGAGCTCCACCAGAGAACAGATGAGCTCTGCTTAATCCCATCAGCGGAAACGTTCTGTCTAGTGTTTCCAGAGGCAGGTGCTGGGAACTATCCAGACCAGCGGCAAAGGAGAAAGAGCAGTGTCGCCATTTACGGAGCAGGGCAGATTGGTTCCAGCTGCTGATCTACTCACGTGGTTATCATCACGACTGAAGGGGACGGTGGTGTGTTTCCCGAACACGTCGGTTTTCTGGACAACGCTGTCCGTGGTTCAGTTGCTAACTTCAGTTGCCCAGCTGGCATCTTATTAATTTGGAGGAAGGATGGGAGAGCTGTAATTAACCTCCAAGAAGCGTCTCTACCACGGCCCGGGAAATCTCTTACTTCATCAGATTGCTCAGGCCAAGACAGGAGCGAAATGTTTCCCAGACTTGAGTCTCCAGGGGAAACTACCAGGATGAGTAATCTGATGGCATAAGATCCTCTTTCTCACAACAGTGAGCAGTAACAGAGAGCTTTACAACAAGGCACTTGCGAGCAGGAGGCGAGGAAGAGAGAGTTGCATTTCCGGCAGGACAGCGAACTGCTCTAGATTGGGCACTTGTTAATCTATTGGGATTCTTGAGAAGGAAAATATACATAAACTGGTCATCCAAGAAATGGGCTTGTTCCTCAGTGCAGAGGGCTAGTTTGGTTTCTGGTGTTAAGAGTGACATTAGTGTGTTACATCACTTGTTTTGCAGAGAACAACATTGCCTGTTGTGGGGTCAGGCTGCGTGACGCCCAGTCATTTCTCACATTTGTGAAATTTGCATTTGTGGCTTAGGGATGCTTTCAGACAGCTTATTTAAGCCGTTTACTGAAATTAGCTTATTTTTCGAAACAAATGGATTGGGGTACACAGCATGTGAACCCACAAAAAGCACACTCAGTACTAACCGGGTTCTTTTGCAAAATGCAAGGTCTTTTATGACCTGGTTGAGCAAATGCTGCGAAGACAGCCTGTGAGTCCCTGGAAACAAAGATGAGAAAATGGAGGGGCTGCCATTAGCAATCTTGTTTCAAGAAAGGACAAAGTTGGATTTCCTTCCTAGCCCCAAGTGCGAATCAAAGGGTACCAATTCACTGTGAGTTTCCAAAAATCTGAATATGTGTAAGTCATTTATCCTTTGTGGACAGGAACTGCCACGTGGAAGTGTACATTCTGGGTTCCCAATGTGGAGGTATGGCCTATCTCAGAAAGAAGTTCCAGCAAGCTACAATCTTGCAGAGGTGAGTTTGAGGAGCATATTGGCAGAGGTTGATGCAGAAAAGAACAGGTGGCGGAGAATGCAGCGATAAAGGGGTCTCTGCTCTTGAGGAAAGGAACGGGTGAGATGGAATCTGGTTGGCATCAACTGCAGCGTTGCCTTGTTCAGCGGGGAGTAATGAGAGAAATGGACCCTTTATTGATAGGGGAAGCCACAAGCTATTTTGTGTGAGGCCGCACAGCTCAGAGGTCACGGCCCCTTTACATTTTCAGCCAAATGGAGGAGCGTGCCAAAAGCAGCGATGAAGACATCTGGCCTGTTGACCTCTTGCTGACTTCCTGTTGTCATATCCCTAAACTCAGTTAAGGTCATGGACTGACCTGGCATTTGTCACCAGTGGGAAAAACTGGATTTGTTCTTTAACTTCCTTCCTTCCTTCCTTCCTTCCTTCCTTCCTTCCTTCCTTCCTTCCTTCCT